CGTAACCCAAAGGTTGCGAGTTCGAGTCTCAGGTCCGGCAGGAATTGTAGGTGGGGTGAATGTACAGCGCTCTCTCCCACCTTCAATACCACGACTGAGGTGCCCTTGAGCAAGGCACCGAACCCCCAACTGCTCCCCGGGCGCCGCAGCATAAAAATGGCTGCCAACTGCTCCGGGTGTGTGTTCATGGTGTGTTCACTGCTGTGTGTGTGCACTTAGGATGGGTTAAATGCAGAGCACTAATTCCTAGTATGGGTAACCATACTTGGCCACATGTCACGTCACTTCACTTTTTTAGACTGCAACGGTTTGAGTTAAAAATCATCAAATGTGTTCTACTGAAGAAACAAAGTCACCTACATCTTGGATGCCCTGGGGGTAAGCAGATAAACATCACATTTTCATTTTTGGGTGAACTATCCCTTTAAAATCAACTCAACTCTGTAAACACTGACATGGCCGTGCTTTAACTGGGTGTTATTTTTACTGTTATAGGATGTGTATAAGTATTATTGTATTGTATGTGCTAGTTGTCTTATGTTTTTATGTCTACCTGTGATTATGATTACCTGCTAAGGCACTGTGGATGAAAGCTAGCTTCGGCTAAATTCGGTACAATCAAAGTACCATGAGACCAGCGCTGCAGTTGCTCAAAATCAGCAGCGAGAGCCGTGATGACGACACACTTTCTTCTCATTGGTCAGATTCTGGGATGACGAGCATGACGTGCTTATTCTAACAATTCCAATAATGCTCACAAATCTGTGTTTTTATAACAGTAAAAGCATTTTTAGTGTAGTCGCACTGTTATATGGAGTCATTTTTTATCAAGAACACTGATAAAAGCATACACTTTATCGGTATTTGGTAGCCTGTTTATGCTGAACTTTATTCTTGAACAGATGGCGCTGTATTAAGCAGTATGTCAGAAGTGTTTCTGTTGCTCATAAAAACGTTTCTGTGTATTTGACCAATATTGCATTTAATTAATTGCGCCCCGCAGGCTAGTGTAGTTCCTCTGGAACAAGCCTGATGTCTCTGCTGAGGTAACAGTGAACTCACCTGAAGACTGACAGACACTGTGTTATTATTACTGACTTATTAACGACAGATCAATGCGACTTACTGCTTCAGTCATTCTGTGTGTTTCAGGAACTGAAAGTCTGTAGCTTCTGCAACTCTGCCTTTAAAAGTTATGTTTCCGATTAAATTGTTGCTTTGAAATGACCTGATAATGTGAGGAAGAGCGAAACTCACAAAAATGGACTGGCTAAACGAGTCGAATAAGTGTCTGGCAGCATGCTGGGAAATATAGTCGCTTTCGCGCGGAGCATGCTGGGAGATGTAGTCATACCTTGTCAAACAATTCAGTTAAAAGCGATATACTATATAGCAAATCCCAACTGCGTGATTGTTATATTATATTATATTATATTA